TAGCCCGGGCGCTCCGCTTGCCGCCGCTGGGGCGGGGGGGGGGCGGGCGGACGCTGCTGGTGCTGCTGCGGGCCTTGAGGCATGCCGGCGGTGGTCCGCTCGGGCACGGTGCCCTGGCCTCCCACCCTCGGAGGCCCGCCGCCCCCAAGCCTGCGCTGTCAAGGGCGACGAGCAGGTGCCGAGGGGGAGGGGGAGGGGGCGGCCTGGAGCGCTCCCCGGGCAGTCCTCGCGCGCCCGCTATTGTCCTCGCCCCGCCGCCCTCGTGTTTGGCCACCGCCTGGCTAATTGACCGCGTCGTCCCATTGTGCTGCTCCTAATCCGCCCCGAATCCCCCTGCAGGAGGCCGGCGGTGCAGGCGACGCGGGGAGCGGCTGGGAGGGCTGTGCGCCAGTCCGACTGGGCTGCCAGAGGTAAAGGTAAAGGTTCCCTTGCTCGAAAGCCAGTCGAATCCGACTCTAGGGTTGCAGTGCTCATCTCTGTTTCCAAGCCGAAGAGCCAGCGCTGTCCGAAGACGTTTCCGTGGTCATGTGGCCGGCATGACTAAACATGCCGTAAAAGGAGCTGCGGTGGCTCAAGGGGTTAAGACGCTGAACTGCAGGCTGTGGAAGGTCAGTAGTTCAGCAGTTCGAGACCCGGGTGCCGCATGATGGAGTGAGCTCCCATCTCTGGTCCCAGCTCCTGCCAACCTAGCAGTTCGAAAGCAAGACATTGCAAGTAGATAAATAGGTACCACTTCGGTGGGAAGGTAACAGCGTTCCCTGCGTCTTGGGCTGCGAGAGACCCAGGTTCAAATCTCCGCTCTGCCATGGAAACTTGCTGAGCGGCCTTGGGCCTGACCGACCTACTGGCAGGGCTATACGGAGGATAAAGTGGGGGAGAGGGGAATGGGCCCCCACTGGGGAGGCATAAATACAGCGAGAGGAATAAAAAATGAAATCTCCCCCGTCCTGGTTAGGAGGCAGAGACTCTGCTGCCTGCCTTCCCGGGTCACCTGGGTAAGAGGGGGTGGCCTGGATACGATGCCGCCTCCTTCCAGGACTGCCAAGTTCACACTTGTCTGCTTGGACTACAGCTGCTCTTGGGGGGGGTGGGGGTGCGGCCCTTCACATCCTCTCCCCTCCCATCCTTTAGCCGGGGCTGGCAGCAGCATTTGAACCTGGGCCTTCTGGCATGGCAAGCTGACCAGGCCGGGCTGTGTGACTGCACCCGGCTCTCCCCAAGGGCAGGCTGTGGGGCTGGGCTGCTTCACTCCCTGGCCTCCCCCCCCTCTGTGCCCTCACGCATACTCCGCTATGAAATGGCCTTCTGCCGAATCAAGCCCTCGGTGCAGCAGGTTCAGTATGGTGTCGTCTACACAGACTGGTCGTGGCTCTCCGGGGTCTCAGATCTTCCACGTCTCCTATTCCGTGAAACTTTTAAATAGGAGATGCCAAGAACTGGACCCAGGACTGTCTGCGTGTCAACAAAGTCTTATTCAAGGCCAACAAAGTCTTATTCAAGGTATGAGCGTCTGTGAAAGCTCATGCCCTGAATAAAGCTTTGTTGGTTTTCAAGGTGCCCCTGGACTCGGACTCCCATCAGGCCGACATGGCTGCTGCCCAGCCTGCGTGCCAGGCAGATGCGCAACCTCTGTGTCCCCAGGGGGCTTCATCCTCCACACCGCGTGTCTCCAGTGGCGGACAGGCTCCCAGTGGTGGGCCGCTGGCTCCATGGAGAGGGGCAGAAATGGTGTGGTCAGCAGGATCCGCAGCGGCCTCCTCGTGACCATTGTGGAAACTGTTGGCTCAGCACAGCACACCCCTGCCCCCTCCCCAGCCAGCCAACCACCACTGCTGCCGTGTGTCGGAGCCCAACGCAGCCTGTTATTGGCCCCAAACACAGCGGACTTTGGGACCCATCTGGGCCAGCACCCAGGCCAGGAGCCCAGCGTCCTCCCACCGGGGGGCAGGGAGGTCTGGGGGGGGGGGGAGCGGTGTGTCTCCCTGCTGCCACATGAGCTGTTGTGCATGGGAGTCATTTTTTTGCACTTCACCACATACCCTGGAAGAGCCACCTGGGATGGCGTGGCCTTTGGCCACTCTGGGCATGGCAGAACATGCATGTGCTTGGCTGGCCACAGGCTGTGAGCCAGGATTTTGTGCAGGATTTCTTTTGTCACATGCACACGCACGCAGGGGTGTTTTTAGGCAAACCCCCCCCCCAGGAGGAGGAGGCGAACTGGGGATCTGACTCCTGACCCCACTGCATCACGCCCATGCTGACCACAGGTTGTTCAAAGGGGCTTCGGGCTGTTGGGGGGAGGGGTGGCCCTGCTCCGTTTGGCTCAGTGGCAGAGCGCCTGTGCGGCTTGCAGAGGGCCCTTGCTTCAATCCCTGGCAGCATCTGCAGGCCAAAGGTTTTGGCCTTTCTCTGCCTGAGAGAGAGCCCAAAGAGCTGCTGCCAGCCAGCTGCAGTACACAGCCGCTGGCAAGGGAGATCACCAGGAGCTGCTCTCGGCCTTCTTCAGCCTCTTGCCTCCTCACTGAGGGCGGAGAGGGTGTGCTGCCTCTCTGGGCAAAGAGGACAGGGTCTGTGAAAAGTATGCGGACGGATGAGTGATTTCAGCTAACGTACTTTTATTCAGCAAGAATAAGACAAAGTAGCCAGCTCGCAGGCCAGCTTATATGCCCCAAGGAAACACACATCCAACACCCGATTAGATTATTCCTAGGGACCCTAGGTTCCCGATTGGCAGGGAACTAGGATCCTCACAGCTATTGTGTTCTGCAGCGAAGCTCAGCTACTTTGCCTGACCGCATGCTGGACCGGCTTAAACTGGATCGTGCCCGTGGCCGGGTCAGGACACAACAGTCTGACCATTCCT